CACACACACACACCTCTCCTCTACCTCATCTTTCTCTCTCATCTCCTTTATCTCATCTCCATATTTCTTTCTCTTTCTCTCTCTTATCTCTCCTTTATCTCATCTATATCTGTCTCCGTCCCTCTCTCACACACATTCACATACCTCTCTTCTATCTCCTCTCTCTCTCTCTCTCTCTCTCTCTCTCTGATCTCTTCTTTATCTCATCTATATCTGTCTCTTTCTCTGTGTGTCCCTCTCTCTCACACACACAACTCACACATTCACACATATCTCACCTCTATATCACTCTCTCTTTCCCCCTCTCTCTCGTCCTCTCCCTCCCTCCCTCCCTCCTACCCTCTCTGTCTCTCTTCTTTTCCCCTCCCTCCTGTCTGCAGAAACTAAGAAACACATTTGTCACAACTCTTTGATGCCTAAATGTCATCCTTCATTTAAGGACCAGCAATTCAGGTTGAGCTACATTTGATAATCTGCTTGCACTCCTTTTGAATGACTTTTGGGAGCCAAAATTTAAACCCCGGAATACCCGAAACTGTCCCAAACAATAATACGGAAACAGACCAGAAAGAGATTTAAATAATTTGCCTGACCTACTTTGGCAAGACCCTCCCTGCAGTTTTCACAAACTGAGTTGGCTACAATTACCTGGGTACAGGCAGGGGTGGGATTCTACCAGTTCGCACCTATTCACTAGAACCGGTTGTTAACATTCTAAGCGGTTTGGAGAACCGGTTGTTAGAAGAAATTACTGGCCTAATCCTGTAAGGAAGGCAGGAAGGAAACATTCTGGGGTTGCTTACAGAACTGTCTCTCTGTTAACCTTTATTACATTCTTGGCAGGACTAGAATTCCTGTCTCCAGAGCTTCTCTGGAGTTTTTTCCCCCTCCTTTGCTGGTACTTTGCTTGTGTGGAGGGACCATTCAAAGTTACCATGGCCCTGAAAAAAGTGACTTATGACCGTTTTTCACACTTACGACTGTTGCAGCATCCCCACAGTCACGAGAGGTGATGCGTGCCTCGATGTGAGTGATGTTGAGTTGGCCACACC